TTCCAGCAAGCTGGAAAACAAGACTCTGATAAGCACTTGTTGAATAGTCTTGAAAGATTAGACAAAAGCTCTGGAGAACACTTTTGCAAGACTATAACAGGTATGTTGTCCCGGCCGCAAGCTGTAGAAGAGTCTAAGCAGGAAATCACTTTAGATAAAGTAGCTGGAGTGATACGGATGTCAAGCAAAGGATCAACCTGTTTGACAGCTATATCAGGTAGAACGCAACTAGTCCCGGCCGCAAGCTGTAGAAGAGTCTAAGCAGGAAATCACTTTAGATAAAGTAGCTGGAGTGATACGGATGTCAAGCAAAGGATCAACCTGTTTGACAGCTATATCAGGTAGAACGCAACTAGTGGAATCAAGAGATGATATTGATGAAAAGTTCAGTTTTGTCTTTAGGTGAGGTGACAAAGTCTGAACCATAAAAAGAGGTGGAATTACAGACTTACCCTTATTATTGATACTATTAAAGATTCTTCAGAAGTCACGAGAGCCTAATTTTTGAGATGAAATACGAGATTTGAAATACGAACTTTGGCGTTAGATAAAACCTTTTTACAATGGTTCCTAGCAGTAATAAACAGACATCTGTTTTCTGGAGAATTGTTTTGCTGATAGATATAGAAGTAATGGTTTCGATTGGCAATTGCAGCAGCACAATGTGAAGAAAACCATGGAGAAGAGTGAGGCTTGACCTGGAATCGTCGAGAGGGAATAAAGGATTCCATGCCAGCCTGAATCCGTGAAGTTATGTAAGAAGCACATATGTCAACAAGAAGACGAAAGATATATATATATATATATATATATACATATATATATATATATATATATATATATATATATATATATATATATATATATATATATATATATATATATATATATATATATATATATATATATATATATAATAAAATAATTTCTTACTTTTTGAACTAAGTTCAAAAACAAATTTATTTCAGTCATTTTTATGGTTCCAAAAGTGCCGGTTATTCTCATTGTCGCTTGATAAAAAAAATAATCATTGTAAAATGTTTTTTCAACCATGAATTTATTTGCATAATCCAAATTATTTTAACGTGATTATGGAGCCTACATGTTCAGCTTGTTGTTGGCCATATAAATATATTTTAAAGGTATATATATTTCCATAAAATAATGAAAGACTTTTTGCAATTTTCATGTAACGTAAGTTAACAAAAACATGAAAGCGGTTAAACATTTTGATGAACAGAAACTTTTCTTTAAAAAGAAAACAGCGGGGCAGAATAACTTTAAAACTTGTAATTAGACAAAAATTAGACATTGCGTGACAAAATACTTTTTGACAGTATTATATGATATAGATTCTAGTCCATCTTCCGCATATTTTTTTTTCCAGCTTAGGAGTGTAAACCCTACTAAATCATTAACCCTATTAAACCCTGTTGTTCAGCGCACCTTTTTTTTCAAAAATAAGTCACTCTTGCGAGTTATTTTTTCTTCTGTTTTTTTAAAATTAAAGCCACTGTTTGTTAACAAATTAATTTTTTTTTAAATGGATTTTTCGATTTTAGATATTCTTTTAACAATGATAAGGTAATTTATTAGTGCAGGGCCTGAATAAGCGCGGAGCAGATGAGGAGGGCCTGAATAAGCACAGAGCATTTTCCCCAAGGCCTTTGAATAAAAATGTAGTTAGTTAAATGTAGTTTTTGTTTACGTATTCATCTAGATTCACCTATGACATTTATTTTTATGGAATGCACACATTCACTTTTTTCGTAACTTCATTTAAAACATTCTGAAACTATAAGGAAATCAAGTTATAAAATGCCTGCTATTTTTTATAACCATCCAACTGTTGGCTGTGAAATCCATTTAATTTTGCACTCATTAAAACATGTAATTTTTAAACAAAGCTGCAAGTTGTTACTTTTAACTTCTTTTATCTTAGATCAATCAACCAAAACACCGCACTTTGGACAATGTGCTAATAGCTCTTATAAATTCTTTTTGTAAACAAACAGCGATCGATTGTTACACATTCTTTCTATTTTTGGATCTGTAGTGTTTGTTTCGTTATTGGTATCCATTTCATCTTATAAAGTAGGGGTGTATTATGAATCGTCGACATCGTTTATTATCAGAATCATAGTCATCAATGTATTCAATATCTTCAGGTTCATTATCATGTTTCTCATCATCGTCATTATCATTCTTGTTATCATAATCATCCTCAAGTAAATCATCATTGCCAGCTGTTTCATCACTTTTTTTTAGATAAATTAATATCTGAATTGTGATTAAATTTAATGGTAACATTAACTTCATTGCAATTGTTTAATCGCGGTTGCTGCGTTTGTGTAGCAATATTGCAATTAAGCAAATTCTCCTCACATGTCAAAATTGGTTCATTTTGTAATATTTCTTTTGTTTTCAAAATAACATAATCCCATTCAATGCACAAACTTTGCTGCAGTAAATCCGATTGCAGCTGTAAAAATTTGAGAACTTTGAATTGCTATTTTTTTAAGTTTTAGATTAATATACACAATTTTGATATAAAAACAAAGTCAACCAGGCAAAAAAATTATCAGTAGTTTTACCTGATTATATTGAGATGGAAATATTGTTGGAAAAGAATTAGAATGGAGTTTTTTGTTCATTCTTTTGATTTTGTTAGGTATAAGAAGTTGCATCATTTCATGAGATTTGTCAAAACATGATTCGCCATAATGCATAGATCAAAGTTCAAGTCGCTTAACACTATTTTCTTTACCAACCGCTTTGCTCCACGCTGTTGCAATATCAGGATTTTTTGGCACTGTATGAAATGATATGTTAGGTAACTTATTATGATACTCGCTAGAGCAAACTGTAGCACTGCAGAAACGCGACATTGTTGTTGAAGAAACACTTATCTTTTCGCAAGACAAATGTAAATCAAGAAAATACAGAACAGCAGGAATATTAATATATAATTATTTTTTATTTTTGATGTGAATATACTCAAAGCATACAGGAAATAAGAATAAATATTTGATTGCCTTTATTGCATTTGCGAGATAGTAAAGTATAAAAATATTCTGAAATAAACAGTTTTTTTTGTGCATGATATAGTTTATATGGGAATTTGGCACGATTTGTTTTTAATGATCAGACGAAGTCTGTTCATTAAAAATTAATGTTTATTCATACCTCTAAACATTAACTATATTGTCTTTATTCTTTCCTTTTTTGTGCTTAAGTGCCTTGGGTTTGAACTATGAGTGGTTTTTGTTAAACTATAAAATAAGGATGTTAAAATAAAATATTATCAATAGATGAGGTCTAGCCAACGCCGTGCTGTAACTTTTGGGGGCTCTGTGCAGAAACTAAAAAAAATTTTTTTTTTCTTTTCATTCGTATTGTAATCTTTCAATTCGTAGTAATTTATGGTATTGGAGAAGTTTTCTAATGTACTTAATAGGGGGCCCAGTGCGATTGCACTTGTTGCACTTGCGATAGTACAGCGCTGGGTCTAGCAGTCTAAAATGAACATAATATGAACATAAATAATAAATGTTAAATAAAGTGAATGAATAAAATATTCGATTGAAAAAGTTCTTATAAATGAAACTGTATACTTGTATTTCAATTTATTATGCATTCATTTATAAAAACTCCTTCATTCGAATATTTCATTCAGTTCATGTAATCCGTTCATTTATTCTTTACGTTTATTTTTTTCTTGTGCCACTCATTCAACATGATAAACAAAAATAGATAACTTACGTTTTACATTAACTTTTACATTTTACCTACGTATTAATGAAGTAAATAAAAATGCATATTTTTCAGTTCAAAAACATGCAAAAAAAAGTTATTATTTTTATTTTTTTATATTTTTTCTCCTAAGGGGCTGTCCATTAATTATGTCAAAAAAATAAGGGGAATAATAAAAATAGGCGGTCTAATCTTAATTGACAGTTGTTGACACAGGGTGGGGGGTGGGGGAGAATAAGTAAAGTTGACGCCAGCAACCTTCTTTTATTTTTTTAATTTTATTACTCAAAAAAAAGAAAAATTAGGCTGCATTTTTCGCGTGGCTTTTTCATTTGAGCCAGGGGGAGAGGTAATTTAGCATTGACGTAATTTTATAGGGAGGATGGGGTCTCTAAAAATTTGACAAACTGTTGACAAGGAATGGAGGGGGAGGGGGGGGGGGGGTTTAATTTGCAAAAAAATCTGACTTTTAAATTTTCGCATTTTTTTTAGATATTTAAACGCTGAAAAGTATTTCAGGGCAAAAAAAAATTGTTTGAATAAAGTTTATTTTTTTAGGGGAAAAAAAATTAAAAAAAAACTGGCAATAAGAGGATTTCCTCAAATTGTTAATCTGAAGACGTATTCGGTAAGCAGATAAATAAAATAAAATGGCTACTCTAACTGTGTGCCATAAATGATTTCAATGCAAGGCTATAAAAATAGCAGTTTTATGTGTTAAATTATTCATCGAGTCAAAACTAGGCCTGTAAATCTAGCCAAACGAGCTAAGCTTGCCAGGGCTCGGCTCGACTTGCTTACATATTAAGAGTGTTCAGGCTCGGCTCGAGCTCATTTTGAACATGAGATTCTTTGTTTGAGCTTGGCTCGTTAAGGATTAGTATTGTTTAGTCTCGGCTCGTTTTACATGTTGCTCGAGCTCGACTGGTTTAAAACTCGAAATAATTATTGTAACCTGTTAGTTTAAAGCTCGTTTAGTAAATCCATTAAAAATGGTCTTAAATCCATTAAAAATGGTCTAAATGGCAAATGACAATAGTCAATAGCAATAGCAATAAATATGGACTAAATGGCAAATGACAATAGTCAATAGCAGCCTCACGTAATTAAATTGTTTATATTAATCAATTATTTAATGTAATAAGAGTTATATGGGTCATACCTCATATGGTTACATTAATACTATATTTTTATTATATACTAATATATATAATATCACAATTTTATTTATTACATATATATATTATTATAAACACGAGCCAGGATTTGCAGCTCTAGTCAAAACCCTTCAATATACTCCCAAGCTTCCAGAATTTCAGATTTTTCTTCGTCATCATTGAAATTTGTGCATATACTATTTTCTTGAGGAAAGCGTTGTCGTATTGCACAAACAACACATGCCAGGATAATTTTCCTATTATATTTCCCAAGTTTACTATAGGTCCACCAAGTAAACTGTCAGTTAGCGGAATATCTAAAAGATCTAAAAAGAAAGAATAAGATTTCTTATAAAACTCTAAACAATTTTTACGATATTATATTTTTTGACAAAATGCATTAAATAATTTTTTAAAACATAAAAAACTGTATAAAAATAATTCATCGTGTATATTAATAATATACAGAGTATTTATAATAACTTATAATAATACTTCATAAACAACTGAAAAATTTTTAAACTATCTACAAAATGCCTAAATTTATGAAATATTTTTATTTTTCGCTAGACTATACCAACTTCAAAGTATAATATTTTAATTCTGTTTAAAAAATTATTTTTCTCAATTCTTTTCAAGTACCTGTTGGACGTTTCTTCAAATGTTGATGGCATCCACGATCCTTCTCTATCTTTTAAACTTAACGTATTCCGTATCCATAGTGGATACGGAAGAATGCATCAAGTTAGGAATCCTTCATGTTCCATTATACACTTCTGATCTGAAAACATAATTATTTTTACAATAAATGTTTTATTGATAGTAAAAGAATGGTCATAACTTATAAATTTAAATATAAAAGTATAATAATAGTTAAAGTGTTTGTGAAAAAACCTGTTCCGATTCCGATCATTATTTCTTTAATTTCAGTGCAACACAAACACTCTTTTTGATACGGCATTGATGCACATTTTCCCCATTTACACCAGTTTTCAATGCCAGTATAGAGGCGATTAATTTTCGTTGCTTGAATATCACGCTCAATTTGAAGCAAATTATTACGATTGGAATTAGTTTTAGTTAAATTAATATTTATGATAATTTTAGTTTGCTTTTTTTGGTTCAAATTGTTTTTTTTTCAAATTTGGTTCATTTTGGTTAAATAGACATTTTATTAGAAATTAAACTTTTATAAGTTCTAAACTATTTAAAACACTATTACTTTTTTTTTACTTTTTTTAACGACGTCTTTCAACCGAATTCTATCATACTTTTTTTGCAAAACTAATTAAAAAAACTTGATTAAAACTTGTTAATCACAACTTTTTAAAAAAATCATTACTTGAAAATCGAAGTAGATATTCTAAAGTTGTTGTGACGTACTAACGTGATTTTTAACAACTAATAATCGAGTCTCAATGTTAAAAAAATCAAATCAAAATGGCGTTGTTTTTCAGTGATTTCGGCGATTGCTTTTTGTTGCTAAGCATTTATTATTACTATTTAGTAAAAAAAGAAAAAAAACTTACATATTTTATTTTTATGCTCTTTCATATGAGATCATATGTTAGGAGCACTTAGAGATCCCTTTAAAAAATATAAAGATAACATTTCAGCCACAAGAGAAAGATTAGCTGTAATAGTGCCAAGTGAACGGCAAAAGCTAATAGGTCTCATCATATTGAGTCAGGTGCTGGAAAAATGCAGTTCAAAGCAGTTTACAATCTAATAGAATCTTTTTGACCTCAGTTATCATATACAGTGTATATGTTTTGATACTACATCTTCTAACACTGGAAAGCACCAAGGAGTTATAACAAGAATGGCGCATAAGCTTGGGCAACGACTACTTTTCCATGCCTGTAGACATCTTGTTTTAGAAATACATATTACCCACTTTAACAAGATTTGTCCTGGTAGTAAAATGTCTGGTCCAGACAATCAGCTCTTTAAACACCTAAAATCATTAAAGGCAAATTTATAAAAAAAAACAACTTTAAATTTTGTGGCATTAATCCACTTTATTGGAAGTCCTTTTTAGCTTTTGTTACTCCACCTGTCTTACGAAGAACTCCTTCGTGTTTTTTTTTAGGACGGTTTGGAGGATTTGCTTCTTTAGAAACATTGTTCACATTTGTTATCTTTGCAGCAGCAAGATCTAGCCAAATGAGACATCAGTATTTAGTTTTTTCATAAATGCTAAAAGTATTTTTTGGATGCATTTTTTGATTTAGAGATTGGCAGTCAAGGTCTTCTTAGTGACAAAACAAGAGGACTGCACACCACAGCTACTAATTTTATAAACATTCTTGAAGCTACTTCAGCAATAAAATCATTTGGCAGGCACAGCTGTTATTTTGATCCTGCCTTAGTTGTGCCAGCTTTAACAGATAAACATTGCCTGAACAGAAAAGATATTGCCAAAGCAATGTACAGTACACTTCCCGCAAAACCTAAAGTATATCCACTTGAATGTATTATGGTCAATAAAGAGCTTCTTCACTTTCTAGATTTTGCACAAGACCAGTCTCCATCTCTTAGTGCTCTAGTAACTGAGCAATCTTGGCTTATCTTTGATAAGATTAGACATAGAAAGAGCAGCTTATCTTTGATAAGATTAGACATAGAAAGTAAGATTAGACATAATCTTGGCTTATCTTTGATAAGATTAGACATAGAAAGTAAGATTAGACATAATCTTGGCTTATCTTTGATAAGATTAGACATAGAAAGAGCAGCTTATCTTTGATAAGATTAGACATAGAAAGTAAGATTAGACATAATCTTGGCTTATCTTTGATAAGATTAGACATAGAAAGAGAGTTACAGTGGCTTAAGATCCCTTCACAGTTCTGGAAGTTTAACTATTTTTATCTTGAGTTTGAAATTATTATTAAATCCCTTGATGTGGTCAATGACTCATCAGAGAGTGCCATTAAACTAGTTAAAGAACTGATTTGAAAAACAAACATAGAGAAGAAAAGACAGATTTGCTGTTGTTAGTAGGCAAGAGGAAAAGAAAATAGATTTAGCATATTATTTAGTAAAGATTTATATTTGGTTTAAAAATAAAGAAGTTTAATCCACAAAATAAACAAGTTTAGTCTTCACAAAATAAAGTTATGATAAACAATAGTTATGATTAAGCATTTTTTTTTTTTTCTTCTACATCTTTGCTTCCAACAAGGCTATTAGAGTCTAACCACTATTAGAGTTGGAAGTTACTGGAAGAGAAAAGATAAAGTTTATAGAGCAATATAATGATTGAAGATGACTTAAAAGCAAATTATTATTAAAGCAAGTTAGACAACACAATAAAAAGATATAACCTTAGCAGATGCAAGGGGCAAATTAAGTGATCGCGAATTGAAAATTCCGTAAAAGTTTCAGGTCTTCAAATTTTGTTTTTCTTGTAAACCATTTTGGCGCGTTTTTTTCGGGCCATTCGTAAGCAACTAAAAATTTAAAAACAAGAATTTTTTACGAAATTTTCAATTCGCGATCACTTAATTTGCCCCTTAAGATGCAAATTTTTCAATGGATTTTATATATGGTTTCCAAGAAAGATTGGAAGTAAGAGTTAATCCAAGAAGATAAAGGGTAGATGACTCATCGACTACATTACCATTCATAATTATAGTAAGATCTAAATTATTGCAATAATGATTGGCTGAAAAAAATTGGGTTTTATCTGAATTAAAGTTCACCAGCCACTGTGAGCCCCATGCTGTAGCAGAAGTGAGATCCTTATCAACCTCAAATGCCCCTTCCAAGCAATCAGAGAGTGTTGGCTTCTTGTCATGATAAAAATTAATAGTAGTATTGTCAGCAAACAATGCCATCTTATATGTGAGAATATCTGGAAGATTGCTAATGTAAATTACAAAAAGTATAGGGCCAAGGATAGAACCTTAAGGAACCCCTGAAGTTACAGTATATGAAGAAGAGTGCTGTCCATCCAGGACAACTTTTATACTACATATGAAAGGAAGGACTTAAAAATGTTGCTTGATACACCATAAGAATAAAGCTTATAGAAAAGACCAGCATGCTAAACTTAATTAAAAGCTTCAGAAATGTCAAGAGTGAGAGCATTAAGCTCTCCAAATCTATCGCACGATAAAACCTATCTGTTATTACTGTTACCAAATCTATCGCACGATAAAACCTATCGGTTATTACTGTTAGCAAATCTATCGCACGATAAAACCTATCGGTTATTACTGTTAGCAAATCTATCGCACGATAAAACCTATCGGTTATTACTGTTAGCAAATCTATTGCACGCTAAAACCTATCGGTTATTACTGTTAGCAAATCTATCGCACGATAAAACCTATCGGTTATTACTGTTAGCAAATCAGCTGTAGAAAGAGAAGATATCTCTAAGATGTCAAAATCCATATTGATGATCAGAAAGTTATTAGATTCCAGCTGAGAGATTAAGTGTTTGTTAATTAAAAATTCAAAAATCTTGCTTATGATAGGAAGAAGACTAATGGGATGGTAGTTAGACAAGCCAGATCGCTCTCCAGAATTTTTGAAAATAGGTATAACAGATGCTGCTTTTCAGAAGGCTGGAAAACAAGACTCTGATAAGCATTTGTTAAATAGTTTTGAAAGTAAATTGTAGAAATTGCAGTGGAAATTACAGCAGCACAATGCGAGGAAAACCATGCAGAAGAGGCTTGACTTGGAATCATCACGAGGGAATAAAAGATTTCATGCCAGCCTGAATCCAAGAAGTTATGTAAGAAAAACATTTGTCAGCAGGCAGACAAAAGATATCTAACTAAGGGCCATCACAAAGAAAATCATGGGAAGAGTCCAAGTCAGCTTTAAGGTAGTTGTAAAAGGTACAATAATAGGGGGATTCTGATGATGAAGAAGCACCTAAGGGTGAATGTGGACGAACTGAGCACTGACTAGGATCAAAAACAAGACATAAGATGAGTAGAGAAGGTAAATGATTCAAATTGTCTGGAAAATGATTTGAAAAGTTGACTATTTGAGTTAGAGATTGAAAAAGACAAAAGTTGTGGGGCTTAACGTCTGCAGTCCAAGCAATTGCCTCATTACCATTAATAAAACCTATGCCATACCAAATGGCTCCAAATGTGACCTCGACAATGCACACCAAAAGTACGAACAGGGATACTATCCATGCACAGCATGGCACTGTTAGTACTCTGATAATTTACAGCTGTTGATGGAATCAACCCCTCTAAGAGTTATCACAGAGTTCAGAAACCTGACTACCAGCCAGCCACAGAACCATAAAACTGAGTTTTAGAGCTGTACCCTTATTAGGAGATAATAGAAAGAGTTGGATAGTCATCAAAACAGAGACACAAGCAAAACTCATGCATTGAGTAAGAAGATCTAGCATTCAACATCCTAAACTGGAAACAATGTATTATAAATACATCTGCGCCAGCCTAATAGATGAGGAAGGGGTGCAAGGCTGGTCAACAGATAGTATCTGTTTACCCATTAGGTGTTTGCCTAGGAAGTCTTCTACAAGACAGTAGCCGGTTGTAAGTTTGAAGACTATGATTCTAATTGTTTTTTCTATTAAATCATCTTGAATCAATAAACAACCAACTGTTCATTGATTTAATATAAAGTGCAACCAAATGTTTTAGAATTATAAATTCAAATTAAAAAAGATGTCTAAACAAAACTGTAAAGTCTATCAAAGTAATCATGCAGAGAAATTTACATATGTTATGTCTATTATTTTTAGAATAATAAAATTGGCTTACTGCAATTTATTTTTATTTAAATGTTATCTATATAGATATTTTATAAACATGTTAAACATTTGTCACATTATCTAAAGCAATTGAATCACACATAGAACAAAGAAATGTAAATTTTTATTTAAAAAAATAAACTTTAATCTCTCTGTAAATAAATTTTATAGGTATATCACATTGTAACTAATATTTAATACATTGGTAAAACTTTTTAGAAAGTTTTATGATTGCACTATGTATCGTAGACCCACACCAAATATTTAAATTAATGTCACACACATAGTTAAATATTAGTTTACAAAGTTATTTTTATGGGAATAAACCTTTGTGAGCATTTCAAGAAATATATTGAATTTAATTTCAATGAAAAATAACTGTCATTAAATAGTTTTATCTTGAGACATGTTTTTAGAAAACCATTTTAGAATATATTTACAAATTAATTGTTCATTAACATAAGAAAAATATAAAACAACAACTATATATATGGAAACATTTAAGAAGCCTAAAATATGATAGAGACTTTATTCTTTTAATTGTTAAAAACAATTATAACAGAATGTAAATTGTTTTCCAGCATCTAATTATAAAAATAAAATAAAAATATTAGCACTGCAATTGGAATCCTTGCAAAATTCAATATAACTCCCTAAAGTATGTCTGATATGTTCCTTCAAATTAGTTTTTATTAATCAAACAAAAAAGAAGTATCAAAGATGATATCACTAATATACTCTTACATGCGATGTTTCAAAAACCTCTTCTAAGTGAATAATGTGTGGGTGATTAACCATTTTCATTATCAAAACTTCTCTTTCTAACAACTTTACACCAACACTTCCAGCCTAAAAGCATAAAGAATGTTACTTTTAACCTCAGTTAAAACAGTTTGAAAATTTATTTTTTTGATTTTTTAAATTTAAATATTCAATTTCGGAGCAGGTTTCTTTTAAGGCTTTTTTATTTTTTAATATAAAATTCTTTTTCAGCAATATGCTACATCATATCAAAGATTATTATTGATAATAACTATTAACTATCAATTCTGGGATCGATATGCAGACAATTAACTAAAAAATATATAACAACAGTAATACAAGTTCCTCAGTTTTCAATAAACTCTTATAATTATTCGAATTTAAATAATTATTCAAATTCTTGCTTAGTGTTTGTGAATTTTTAAGAGCTAATTACAATGAGTAGTTTTTATTACGATCAGTTTAAGTTTGGCATTTTAAAGTCGGAAAGTTTTTATTTTTATCAATATATAGTTTTATTTGACAATAAGTGAAATTTAATAAACAAATGAATTCAATGAATTTTAATATGCTCAGAGTGGGTATATTTTTCAAAAGTTACTTCCCCTCCTTCGTATTAAGTACCAGAAGTAAACACTTAAACAAAAAGAATTTGACAAGGTCAGAATAATATTAACCAGCTCTCTAAACATTATCTGTTAAAATGATTTTTTTTTAAAGTATTAAAAAATATGTATACAAATTTCTTTTTAAAAATGGCAACTAAAGAAAATTGTTGATGAATAAGTTTTTATCTATAATTTTTTAAAAAGCTTAAATTTCAACTGAAAAATTTATTCAAAATGATTTTTTATTTTTTTAAATTTACTTTTTATTGTATCAGTAATAGTATAAGGATTACACATGGAATCATTGTATAACACATAGAACCATTATATAACACATGGAATCATTATAAAACACATAGAATCATTATATAACACATAGAATCATTATATAACACATGGAATCATTATATAAAACATAGAAAGAAAAGATAAAAAATTGTAATTTGTGAAAAATAATAAAAAAATTAACAGCTAAATTTGTAAGAAACAAAATTTTAATTTTACAAAGATATTCAAGCACATAAGCATTGTTGAAAGTTTACATAATATGAAGCAACAAAAACTAATTGTAATGCTAGTGCCAATAAATAAATAATAAATAAATAAGGCATTAATCAAATAATCCAAACTTTTGAATGAATCATTTATTTTTATTTAAATCTAAACCCATACGCTCATTTAATCATTCAAAATGAACTTGCGCTTTTTATAATTCTTTTTGATTGCATGACCTCTTCTATTGTAAACTTTTTACACACCTTTAAAATAGTACAATATAAATAGTTGCTTGTTTCTGTAAAAGCAAGTCTTGAACTACAAACTCTTTTATAAACAGAAAAGAATCTTGAAAATTATTATATTCCATAATTTCACACTTCTAAAATATAGCCACATTACTAATGCTACACTGATATAATATTTGATACATGCTTATGCTTTTGTACAGATAATTTTAAAACTTCTTGAGCTGAAGTATGAAAGTTGATAATTTGCTGGTTCAAGAATGTCATGAAAGTAGAAAATTGAGATTCATTAAAACAATAATATCATATTTTTTATATTCATACCATAAAGGATAAATGATATAGAAAATCAACTATAAAAGCACTGCTATTTCCAGCATTAAAATTAACAATTCTGCATTTATATAATGAAGAGTTTACAAACATCTTTGTCATTATGATTTTACATATTATTTGCACCTATGTTAATACTATTTTCATTCTTTTTTTTTTAGCCTTTTTTCAAGTTTGTCATTAAATCTTTAGTTCTTATTAATTTAAACCTTGAGAAAATTACACGAGAAAATTACGCTGGCAAACGTTCCAGGTAGCAAGAATCTGATGAGAATAAATCCAAACAACAGCATTTTATTAAACTTTCGTGGACATTTTTTTCTGAATTGGCATTAAGCTTTTTTGCATTTTGTAATGTTTGTCCACATTTCGATCTCAGCTTTGTGAAAAGTTTATTAAATCTATTTTTAGAATGCAATGGTATCCAAATAGGAGTTTTGGCAGAAATAAAATATACTTTTAAGCTTGATAAATATAAAATTATAAAAAAGATTTCTTTTGTAGTTTTTTTTTTATCCTAAGAGGTTTTGTGACAAATAATAGTTTTAGATTTTTCTTACTGACCTCTGCGGAAGTTTTTACAACAACCACGAACAATTTTTTATAAATTTTCTTGCACAGAAAATAATAAAAAGTCAAATTCAAAAATAAATTATTGCAACGAAATGTTTAATTTGTATAAAACATAAAAAATATTAATTCATTTACACAAATTTTTAATTTACTTTTTTTAAAATTTATAATTATAAAATATATTCAATATTTGCAATTGTAAAAATTATAACACGTAAATCTACTCAGTTGCTGGGTACCAATTTACAAACAACTAAGCTTCACCCTCATCCTCCAAAAAGCCAGAAATGATTGCAAGACAACAACTGTTATCAACAAATGATTGCACTTAAAACACAATTTCATTTATATCTTGCGTGTATAAATAATAATAGAAAAACAAATTATTTGTAATTAAACTTTGTATAAACATGATTTATTGTAAACCAATTGATCTTCTCAAAAATGCTTTATATTAAATTTGAAAATCTTTAATGATTGTTTACGAAAAAACATTTAAATAGTAAGCAATTGAGGCCCTGGCCCCAGCCGCAACTAAATATGAGACTTTTTTCACTTAGCCCTGGCAAAATTATAAGGTTTTAAAGGGGTTGATAGCCAGGGCTAGAAAAAAAATTTATAATTATTTACATATTATAAATTTATGCATACAGTTACTATTATTTAAATATCTTCCATAAAGTAGGTACACAGCCTTATGGAGTCTTCCATATAGTATGGAACATACACAGGTATGGGGGAGATAAAGTGTTATTCAAAAATGTACAAGAGAAAGAGATGGTTAAGACAGCTTTTGTTCTTTATTTCTCTTTAAACTTGATTTTATTAAAGCATTGAATTTTACAAGTTTAAAAAATAAAAATCATGTTATGTAACAAAGATATGTTGAATCTCAAAAAAACCAAACGTTTTTTTTTGTTTTTAATGTTTCAAAAAAACTATGCATTGGGGAAGGGAAGTAAGGTTGATTTTGTAAAAAAAATGATGCGTATATATGCAGAGGAGGGGGAAGAGGGTTACTGAATGCAGACAAATTAGTACAAGGGGTAAGGGGGTTCTAAATTAGTTGTTTTACTGACACACACACTCTCACCAAGGTTGCAAGCAACCACTATCAAGTTATGAAGTGGCTGCATATTATTCTGAAGCAGATAAACCAGATAAAATCAGTGATGACTGTGATTTCAGGGAATGATTTGCCAAATTAAAAAGAACTTGATGACTTAGTCTGAGTTTTCACTAAATCATGACTATTCAATAAATAAACTGATCTTCTTGATTCGATGCATAAGTTTTTCTTGTGTCTCTGTTTTTATGACTAAGCAACTCATTCTATTATCTCCTAATGAGGGTACAGCTCTAAACCTCAGTTTTATGGTTCTGAGCCTGGTTGGTAATCAGGTTTCCTGAACTCTGTGGTAGCTCTCAGAAAGGCTGATTCCATCAACAACTGAAAAATATCAAAATGTTAACAGTGCCATGTTGCGCATGGATGATGTCCCTGTTTGTACTTTTGGTGTGCATTGCCAAAGCCACATACGAGCCCTTTGTTACGGCATAGGGGATATTAATAGTAATAAGGCAATTGCTTGGGCTATTAAACAGTGTACTGAGTACTATTAGTGTACTGAGTACTATGCTTCGAGTCAAGTTCTTTAACAAATTTAAAAATGAATAAAGTAACAAAAACTATAAAACACAAAAAAACACAGTCATCACCAAGTTCTCTAAACCTATCATTAACTAATATTCGTGGTCTTCAAAGTAACTTTTCTTCTGTTGAGTCTTATCTCTTGCAAAGTTAACTAGACCTACTTGCTCTTTGTGAGACTAATTTGAGTTCCTTTAATTCGTTAAGACTCCAATAGTCACATGCTTGTTTACATCCTAATCAGTGCTCGTTTCTCCACAGTTTCTCACTTTCACGCTTAGGTGCCTCTGATCAAAGTTTGATCTCTCTAAAACTATTATCTCATTCTTCTTTATCATCAAAATCCCCCTATCATCATACATCTTACAACTACCTTAAAGCTTACTGGGACTTTTTTCGTGATTTTCTTTGTGATGGCCCTTGGGTAGAATTCTTTCGTCTTCCTGTTGACAAATGTGTTTCTTACATTTATTACATTACATTACAACTTCGTGGATTTAGGCTGGCATGGAATCCTTTATTCCCTCTCAACAATTCCAGGTCAAGCTTCACTCTTCTCCAAGGTTTTCCTCACATTGTGCTCCTGCAATTGCCAATGAAACCATTAATTCCATATCTATCAGCAAAACAATTCTCCAGAATACAGACATCTATTTATTACTGCTAGAATTGTAAAAAGATTTTGTCTAACGCCAAAGCCTAATATTCTTAGGTCATGAAATCTCGCATTTCATCACAAAAATTAGGCTCTCGTGACTTCTGGAGAATCTTTAATAGTATCAATAATAAGAGCAAGTCTGTAATTCCACCTCTTTTGTATGGTTCAGACTTTGTCACCTCACCTAAAGACAAAGCTGAATTGCTTGCTAAGAACTTTTCATCAATATCATCTCTTGATTCCAATAGTTGCGTTCTACCTGATATAGCCATCAAACAGGTTGATCCGATGCTTGACATTTATATCACTCCAGCTTCTGTATCTAAAGTGATTTCCTGCGTAGACTCTTCTACAGCTTGTGATAACATACCTGTTATATTCTTGCAAAAGTGTTCTCTGTTGTCTATACTTTCAAAGCTATTCAACAAGTGCTTATCAGAGTCTTATTTTCCAGTCTGCTGGAAAACAGCATCTGTTATCCCTATTTTTAAAAATTCTGGAGAGCGATCTGATTCGTCTAA